ACAACCTACCCCCCCCCCCCCCCCCCCCCCCCCCCCCCCCCCCCCCCCCCCCCCCCCCCCCCCGCCCCCCCCCCCCCCCCCCCCGCCCCCCCCCCCCCCCCCCCCCCCCCCCGGTCCTGACTCATTGTTGGTGGGTTCCCGGTAGTAATAAAATATTACCTACCCGAGGAGGTTGGGTGAACGACTAAACCCCCTGCGCCAGCCTTCTCGCTATCTAACGTCCCGCGATCCTCTGCATGCATTGGGGGATAGCGCAGACGATGCCAGGATCCCAACATCTCAACAGCGTCGGCGGTTCGTGACCTGCTGGGAGTGCCTCTCATCTATCTCCCTCTCCATATACCCATGTCGCAAAGACCGCACAACCATGTGCAGGTAAGTAACTCCGTCGCCTGTACAGACTCTCTCCTATGTAGAACGGCATCTGAAACGACATGACACGTCGTCACATTGATACGCTACGTATTAGGTAAGAGGTGGGTAAGTTCTCTATCGATATGTTCGGATCAATCTGACAGTCGCGCCAACCCTATGTATGTCTAGTCGAAGGTAGGTTTTGACGGATTCGACTACTTCGGAGCTAACCTTATCCTAAACGTCGGGACACGTGCTGGTCTTTCACAAGCATTCTACCTAGGCACCTATCATGGCGAGCTTACGGGCTCACCGCGTATCTCCAACAATCGATATCGAACCTTAGAAGTATTAAGTAGTATCCTCGCTAGTTCCATTAGCCACCCTTGACCCCATACCCATTATTGACCCAATCGTAGCAGGGTTGCGATCGTACAATCACCGTGTTATCACTAAGACCCCCAGACCTTCATACCCGTAGAACCCCTCAGTCCCTCTGATTACTTACGACCCTCGCAATATCAACGCGGGAATCCTATGATAGATTTCACCATCCCCTAGGCTAATCAGTTAGATCTAACACGTTACCGGCACTAGGGCGAGCGAAATCTGTAATAGATTACCTATCACCTGACGTCCCAAGGTCATTTTATAGGTACCTACTGGGGCTAAGACGAAGAAGAAGGGTGGTCTCCAAGAAGGTTCTCCAATGGTGGTCCTAGCTCGTAAAGGAAGCCTACATCCCATTTTCAGTCTGGCTAGAAAGAAAGTTGCACGGAGGTCCACGGTATCACGAATCTTTTACCTACCCGCCTACCTACTAGGTACCTATTCACCCCACGTGGTGCAGTGGTTAAAGCACCTGGCCGCACATTGCTGTACGACTACGCATGTGAGTAGGTTCGAATCCTGCCGTGGGCTACTTAACCAGGTCCGATCTCGGGTTTTTCTTCCCACTTTGGGTCTTATGTCGGGGAGGGTGGTTTTGAGACGTGTGGGCCCGGAGAAGGGTTTTTCCTTGTTATGATTGGTTAGCTAGGATCGACGAAATGGCTAGGGTAATGCCGCAAGAGGCAGGAATAATGTGGAGGATTTTCTATGTCACGCGATACTCTAGCTCTGCCTTGTTGCCGCAAGGTACTCTAGACGTCCCAAAGCTCCTTAGGCGAGCTCTGATGTGTATCTACCTACTTAGATAGATTCACGTCCTCCGGACGTAAACAATATCATCATAGGTACCTATTCAACCCCCGGGCGACCCCTGCACCATTTATTTCGAGCTTAACTTAGTTAAAAGCCATATACGATAATTAATACTTAAGTAATAAGTACCCATTTATTAAAAAGATACCATCTTATACTTATTAATAAGTACATGGGTAAATACTTAATAAGTACTTAACTGTGAAATCCAAAGATTAACAACTAAAGTATTATTAAATATATAATATACGAGGCGTATTAACTTCCAAGGTTATTTAACAATTGTAAAATAAAAAGGGAAATCTTGTTCATATACATTTTCAGTTATGCTACCTTGTACCTGTACCTAGAAAGTAGTGCCTTAACATCTTTAATTTAATAAATAGCAGACCTTTCAGATGTGGGTTAAGAAGGATGCATATGAGACTGATCACAGCCGCCGCATACAGCCCCGCGCAGGACCTTATCGCCTGTTCTTCTAGCTCCAGCTCTCGAACCATCTCTTGTAATCCCTATACAATAGCTCGTTCGTCCGGCTCCTGCGATTCTGCGGGGGCTTACTAACCGCTGGCAGAGGGACTTCCTTGGGGAGTTTCAGGTAGATATACCGGCGTGGGAGCAGGTCATCATCCATGCTCGTCCCAGAAATTGAGTTCCCGCGTAATGTTAAGTTAAACGGAAAGCGGGTTTAGCTTTATAATGGGGAATGCTCTAGTAAACTCGTCGTAAAGTTGGCCTAGCTACTCATTCATCACTAGATCCTTATTTAAGTAGAACTTGCAATAATGTTCGTTAAGGGCGTTACTTCGAGGGGGGTAGGTCCTATCTTGGTGCATCTAATTGTCTCTACCACGAGCAAAGACAGCATATTACGTATCTTAATCTCTGTCTAGGCGTAAGATCTTGATTGGTTTTGCCTTAGATCATAGGTAAAGGTTAATCTTGAACTCGATGTACTCCTTCCACGAAGCAGGAGTCTCGGCCCTGAGCCAATGGTAAATCTCTTGGCCGGTAAGTCTTATTTGGTCCTTAGGCAGTATCTTCATAAATCGTTACGGGATGACGACATTTGGAAGGATGAAAAGATATAAGACAATATCTCCGCCCGTACCAGTTACTAGATTAGTCGTATTGATTTTGGACCACTGGATTCTACTACTAATGAAATTTCTAGGAAAGAAGATTGGCTGTTTGGCTTCGATCTTATCACGAGGCGGAACTAAGAGACAAGAAAACAACGACGTTGTTGCACGAGGAGCTCTAAACTCTCGTCTACGGAACATGCTATACATACAGGATCAGACTCTTTGTCTGGCGAGGGCTAGCCGCCAGCAGCTCCTAAGGGCATCAGCGGCCACAAGGCCTGAGACCTGAGAGATCTCTCGACGGTCGATCGTGGCATCTGCCGCCTCTTCGACTTCTTGACGTCTACGTTTACGACTTGTTCCGGTATGACCCTTCGTGATGTCGGTTTTGAACATATTGTCAATTTCCCCCAACGTCAATTTCCCCCAACGTCAAGTTCCCCCGACGTCAAGTTCCCCCGACGTCGAGTTCCCCCGACGTCAAGTTCCCCCGACGTCGAGTTCCCCCGACGTCAAGTTCTCTCTTACTGGTAATGAGTCGCCCCTCGACTCCGCCCTCCTAGCCCTGGCTTCTCGTCTCTTTTCGACGAGTTCGTCAATATCGTGGGCCGTGCAAGTGGAGTCTTTCAATAACTTCGTGAGAATATGTAATTTCTTTTCGGGGACGCGGGTGAAGATAATTAGAGGTGTGGGTAACACCCCAATATTCTGAGCTCCTAGACGAACTCGTAGCGTTAACTCCATCGCCCTCTATAGGAGCTAAGACTCGGAGAGCCCGCCAGCGGGTCTCCAGCCCAGGAGCAGTATCTTCTGGCAGAGGCAGGCCCCATCAATCCACCCTGCCCGCAGGGTGTGGTGCCCGGTAGCCAGCCGGGGTTGTGGTGCTAGGACAGGCCGAGCCAGCGGCGTCCTAGGGTGCGCAAGGACACCCAGACTATACCCGCGGCGAGGTTTCGGCCTTCGTCTAGCTGCCGGCCGGACCAGCCGACCACTCTAAGTGGTATGATAGGCCCTAGAGGATGCGCTAGGCTTGTGGCTACGCTCCCCGCATGAGGGGACCCGTGTCGGGGATTTTAGGAGCGCCTTGGAGTGTGTGGGCATGCATGCGGGCTGAGTTAGACTAGAGTGGTTAATCTATATATTTCGTCTCTTTGGTTGGTAGGGGCACTCACTTGCCATGCTAGGCCATAACGAACTTCGTCGTGTAAGGGCGCTTATCCCTGCGAGAATATTGGCCAAATAGATCTAATTGGGATTTGGTCTCGAAGGTCTTGTGATATCGGAGATGGTTTCGATGCGATATTATTGTGGTTGGGAGGCACGACATGAAGTGGAATGTCGTCTTTATTCTTCCCCGTGTTGAAAACCTTCAAGTTCGAGGCGAATAGAGTCGTCTCGCCACTCGGCTTGTGAGCTATTCGCATACCCTTGGCGAGGCGCCATTTGGAATCCGTTTAGGACTCGGCGGAGTGATTCATGGTCGTTGATAAATTCGATGTTAATAGTAATCGAGGGTAGTGATTAGTGATTTTGATTGATATCGATCCTGATGGATAATAAATAATATCGATGATGGATAGTGAGTGTTTGGTGACGATTTATCCAATCGACGCTGCGGTTGGGATGTGATAATTATCGTGAACCCGAGTAAAATGGGCGACGAATGAAAGAAATGGTAGGATTACGATGGGAGGGCTTAAATTAGGAGACGGGTAGGATGGGCGGTGAATGAGATGTCGCACTATGAATCGTGTGATTCGAGTACTGGAATGAATAGGCCAAAAAAAAGATGAAAAAGTTATATTTATAAAAGTAGAATCTCATTTTGGGGAGAAAAAAGTCAAATATTTTTATGGTTATTTTTTGATTTGGATGATGCACGTGATACCCCTCGTGTTGAACTTTAGGTACGTACTTACAACAGTCTTTCAACCCACGATAATTATACTTAATAAGTAGCTACGTCATTGAATTTTAAACCCGGATTAAATCAATTAATTAAACTGTTTACTGAAGAATTAAATATCGAAAAATGTGTATAATTATGGGTAAGGAAGTCGAAGGTGAGTTGGAACCTGCGCGGTAAGTGGCATGTGACATGCGTAGGCAGGTTGATGAGGGCTAAGAATTTAGATTCGAATACCTACCTAGTATTAGCCAGCTGGTGCACCCCGCCGGGCAAAATAATTTGCCGCAAGGTCGTATTCCCCCAATAATGCTAACCGTTTCGAGCAGTCCAAACATACCTAGAGCATACGATACGAAGTAGTATTACTACTTCGTATATGAAAGGACCCTGCTTCTGTGATGGATTGAATAATGAATGCAACAAGATCCTTACTTACCTCGTACTCATTGCTACATTGGTCCATTGGTGTTGTTTTATTCGATGTTGTATAAATGACGGATATGTCCTTCAAAGAAGGCTTTCCTTTCTTCCAACCCACCGTCCAACCGCCACCGGGTCTTTATTACCATTTTATATGCCGATATGCCGAATAGTATAGCAATTTTTTCTATATTCCTTCTTGGAGCGCTAGGTGCTACCAGTCAACAGGATGGCTCAGTTGGACCGCGAGCGATCAGAGCAACCAGTGTGAACTGGTCAGGCGTCGTGATCCAAGGCGAAAACATCTCGTCAGTCTCGGGGACCTTTCCCGTACTGGAACCCGGCATTCCCAACGTAAATGAAACAGGAAAGCACGCCTATAGCGCTTCGGTGTGGGTGGGAATTGACGGCTATAATAAAACCATATGTCCCGATGGCGGGCTATGGCAAGCTGGTGTATTAACGCAGCACCATAATCTGACGGGAGAAATATGGTATCAACCGTTGTAGGTAATCCTCCGATGTGATGTAAAGGGGCAGACGGCTGACCCCTTGAGAAAGCTATGAGCTATATCCAGATCCTCCGGTTTTCCTTGACATAGGTAACAATACTGCGGGCGATGTAAGTCTTCGATCTGCCTTTCGTCCTCATTCGCTAAATTAGTCTCGCTGTCTCTGGGTCTTGTATGCTTACCAAACGGATGCCCCTCTAGATGATCAAGGTATCGCTCGACGTCGCCAACATTCACCAGGCCTCGGTGGTTCTGGAGAACCTCACCACAGGCCGTGCTTTCAACCAGACTGTGAATATCACGCACCCCCTATGCTTTTCCAGTGCCGAATGGATAGTTGAGCGGTCTTATTCCCTATCCGGGTTGATAGGATTGCTTAATTTTGGCACCGAGACGATTCGGGATTTGACTTATACTTTGGGAGGACAGGTCCACGCCTCGCTTCCTGATAATACGACGATTCTTGATATTGCTAATGACGAGCTTAATAATACAGTGCAGACATCCACCGAAGTCACTCAAACTAGCATCGAGATTACTTATCTTGGTAGTTAAATTTACGTTTATGTCAATACCGGCTAGGGTGGTCTATTTCTATTTATAGGTGCTGAAAACATCATTAAAGCAAAAAAGAAAAGAAAAAAAAAGCAATCGATATACAAAACAGCGCCATAGTGCATTGTTCAGCCACTGTCTCCATATCCAACGATTGGGCTATTAGTAGGGCTTTATAACCATAACTGACTTGACTACTTCACGTCAATGATATTTTTGACCTCTGGGACTTTGGGT